CAAAACTAAACAATAAAAATATTGGAATACACTTTTAAAAGAGGTTTCAATATATAAAATGAATAAATTTTTATTTAAAAAAAATTGTTATTGTGGAATTCATTTGTCAATTCTTTCTTATTGTAAATTATGATAACCCATATTTCAATTTGGATCACTCAATAATACTTTATCGATATTTATTAATAAAGTATTTAATTTATAAAACAGTAATATTTTCATGATGACAACAATTTTTAGTTTTTTTATTGGATATTTGTTCTGAATTGGTGGCAGGCATTTTTGAAAGCTTGGCAAAGCAGTTGTGGAGCACAAGGTATGGCAACTCTAGTCATACCTGCAAACTATCGATTCCTTCTGTCACCATTAATGCTAAAGGGTCCTTGCCATGCCTCAAATATTCAAATTCAGGTATTTCTAATGTAACCCTAGTTCATTATTCAACTGTTGTTTCTTTTATTAAATTTTTGGTACTTTAAATTTCATTTTAAAACAAATTTTCTTCTAATTATTCTTCCATAAAAATAAAAAAGTAAACGCAATTAATATCAGAAAATAAAACGTATTTTCTATGTTATTTAATATTATATATATACATTAAAGTTTAATTGCAATTTGAATTATAAATGTAAGCACACAGTTACAAATGTATCCTTACTGCACCTTATTAACAATTACAAATTGTTATTACAGCACTTTACAAAATATTACTATAGTGCCTAATGTCAAAATGAATTAAAACTCATGAATCAACCTAAGTTACTACGGATTCAGACGGGGTTAGCTTGAAAAAAAATTGAAATTTTGGTACGGATTAATTTTGAGTCTAACCTAGTAAGAATTCGATTCATTGAGGTTGAACCTGTGATGAGTCAGGTTGACTCGTCAATCCACTTAATTTTCTGTTTTTAGCTTATTTTTGGATTATGTTTGGAGTTTAAGATGATTTTGAATTGTATTATATTTTTTTTTATTTTGAATTGTTTTTGGAATCTAATATCATTTTGAATTGAAATTTATTTAAATTTGAATTAGAAAACAATTGTTATTTTTTTTGAAACGAAAAAATACTTGTCATTAAATAAGTAAATGAGTCAACCGTTTAACGTATTCATTTGTTGTGAGTTCGACTCGATTCGAATTTTTTCGACTCATTAATAAATGAGTCATATTGGATAGGTTTACTAAATGACTAATCCGTAATTAATTGAGTCGAGTTGGTCAGGTGAACCCACTACACTAATTATGAGTGTGATGAATGTTGTTGCAGATCCGGGGGAAAGTAATTGCAGCTGAGAAGAATGCATGGGCATCATATAAGTATACTTGGATTTTGATCACAAATGTAAATGGTCTGACAGTGGATGGAAGTGGAGGATCGCTGGATGGCTTCGGTTCTTCATGGTGGTCATGCAGAAACTGTCCACGTCCGTCGGTGAGAGAATATTCTTTCTGATATTAAAAGTTTTCACTAAGTTTTAATTAAGTTTAAGATTCTGATTCATGCGGGTGATGTGATGAAGGTCATTAGTTTCAATTCATGCAATGGTCTTAGTGTTAGCTCCTTGAACATCATTAACAGTCCAAAAGCTCACATAAACATAAACAATTGTGTGGGAGCCACATTCTCTGCTATCAGTATTCAGTCTCCCGGTGACACTCACAACACTGATGGAATTGATGTTTATGCTTCAAAAAATATCTGGATCAAAGATTCTACTATAGCATGTGGTAAATCAATCTTCATCACTTGCATATATATATATATATATATATATATATATATATATATATATATATATATATATATATATATAAGTTTCAGTATAGTGTTTTTAAATTTAAACTTAATTTGTCTTTCTAAATAGGTGATGATTGCATTGCTATCAGTGGTGGCTCCTCTTATGTCAATGTTACTGGGAGTGCTTGTGGACCAGGCCATGGAATAAGGTTTTTATATATAAGCTCTGTTTTAGTTGACATATAAATTGTTGAAAATTCAAGCGTTAGCATGTTGAGTAAATATAAAGTTGTTAAATAACATAAAAAAAATTTATAAATATGTTATTTTTTTTAAGGTCTCGTATCGACTAGAGGTAAAACTAAATTATAATATATAAGTGGAATACAAACCTCAACTTATAATCCGATTTTGTGAAGTTAAGTTAGATTTAACGTTCACTTCTTAGTATGGTATTCTTAACATGGTATTACAGTTAGATTATCTAGTGAGATCTACTTAATATTTAAAGTTTTAAATTAAAAATTGTATCAAATTTTTAGATGAATTTAATTCATATATTTCATTTTAGTCAAATCTATTTTCGAAAGACATATGTGGTATCAAACACTTAGATAGATTAAATGATAATATATTTTGTTATATGGTTTTAAGTTTAACTATTGTGAAGCAGTGTTGGGAGCCTGGGAAATGGCAATAGTAACACAGTGGAACAAGTTCATGTACGAAATTGTAACTTCACCAATACACAAAATGGAGCAAGAATTAAGACATATGCGGTAAGATTTATTTTCTCCCTTTTTATGTGTCTTTTAGAGTTTTCACATAAAGATTCAACAAATACACGAAGTTCTCTTGCTAATTGTTATAACATAATCATGAAGTTCATTTTACTATATCACAAAGTATAAGAGGTGTGATGGAGAAAAGTGACAATTAATTTCCATGAAACATTAAAATTATGTAGGAAAGAAAAAAAAGGAAAAAATAAATATTTTTTGGTTATCCATTTCTTTTTTCAGGATGGATCAGGTTATGCAAGAGGAATCACATTTGAGGAAATTACATTGATACAAACTCGAAACCCAATAATCATAAACCAATTCTACACTAACAATGGCGTATCTTTAAAGGTATTCACTTAATAAGTTCATTACATTGTTAATTTATTTATTAGTTATTAAAGTTGGATTTTTGACATAATTAGAATGGAGGAGTTGAAGTGAGAGGAATAACATTTCGTGGATTTCATGGAACAAGTATGACTGGTGAAGCTATTACCTTAAATTGTGGTCCACAAGGTTGTTTCAACATTACATTGGATCAAATTAACATTGCCTCTTCTCAACAAGGAAAACCAGCTTCCTGTTCTTGCAAAAATGCCCACGGAACAGCCACATCTTCTGTTCCAAATTGTCCTTGCTTATTGCCATGAGTTCTTTCTTATTCTTTTATATGCCATATGCCAGATAATTAAATTATCAATTTTATCATCAATATTGTTATCTGCATACGTATAAATCAATATCTAAATAAAAATTATTTCTTTTAATTTTAATATTATATGAGATTCCCAAACATTTTTGTACATTTATTTTGATATTCTGAAATATTTGCTGAATATAATTTAATGATGTGACTACAGAAAGAGTTAATTTAGCTTCTAAATATCAATCTTGATCAAATAGAGACATTACTTAGTCAATTTTAATACAATGCAAATAATTATTTAAAAAATAAAAGTGAATAAAATTATTTTAAATTTTTTAATAAATAAATATTTATATTATGGTCTTATTAGTATTAACTATTAACTTAGTCGATACAAAATTTCTTAAAACCAAAAAAAGTTTAGAAAACACAATTTTTAATTTTTTAAAATAAATATTTGTATTAAATAAAATAAATATTAAAAATAAACAAAGTTAACATCAACTTATATATCTATCACAATTTTTTTTTACAATCTTGTTTTTGTCTTTGACGTCTCTTAAATGTTTGATGTCAATGTTGACGAGGTAAATTCTAACGTTAAATTTTGTCAGTAATACTTACCCTAATGTAATTTGTTTTTTTTTTTTTTTTGTTTTCTTTTTAGAAATTAGTTTTCGCATGCATCAGAAAATTTCACATGACAGAATACATATTTTAACTACACATTCAAGTTCTCTATTGTAAGACAAAAACTATTTTCCCTCAATATAAAAAATATAATCTAACATGAACAAATAAACTTAAAAAATAACCTAAACTTTGAATAGTGTATATAATATGATTTCCAATTAAACTAAAATAAAGAAAAAACTTTGTCTCAATTCTATTAGATCCAATTACTCAATTTCTATAACAACTAAACACCAAGATTTACCATTATAATGACAGTATTTTTCTTCTCTTGACTACTTTCTATCCAACGAGGCGTAAGATTCACATAAAGTTAAAGGGAAAGTAAATATAATTTGAAGAAAAGAATTCTATGTAAATTATGATTTTACAAAACGAATAATGAAATATATTTAAATTTCTAACTTACTTAAATTTCAACTAACTTTGAAATTTAATATTCTTTATTCTTGACATCTCACTTAAAATTAAAAAAAAAAAAAAACATGATCTATATATAACCTCTCATCAACTAGGTTATGGTGAATTACTCTGTGGAAAAAGCTTCTATATAACATAAAAAGGATGTTATGACATATTTGCTTTTTATATTACATGATACTTAAACTTCTATTTGTACGTTAAGTTTCTCCCAAGTCATTTTTGAATTTGTTTTTCTTTTGAAGTTTCAAATTCCGATTAACCCTAATTTCAATTTATTTCTAATATGTGTTTCTGTATTTGCTCATAATTTTTTGCATTATATACGCGTAAGAACTCCAATAAAAATGTTGTTAAAGGTCTAATAATCATCTAGCCAAGACGATCAAAATAATAATAACAATGAAACAATAAGCATTCTATTTCATTCAAAGATCCAACCATAACACTAATTCTTAACCTATAAAAATCTTGTCCACATATAAAAACTCCTTACTTCCTTACTTCACTATGGTCAGTAGGAATTGACCAATATCTTAAAATGAGGAATGACATAACATAAAACAAACTAAATAACAAAATAAAATAAAGCAAATAACTCAAAATTTGGTGTTCCTAATGGCATTTATAAAAAGAAGCTCGTACATATTGTAGTAGTTTTCGCAAAAAATAAAGATATATATTCTGGCTTAAGCATGTATGAAGGTAACACAACTTATGACGATAAAGAACATTCTGGAACAGTGTTTGTAGCTTTCCCATGAGCATTATTGCAAGAACAAGAAGCTGGTTTTCCAGGTTTAGAAGAGACAATGTCAACATGATCCAATACAATGTCGAAACAACCTGATGGAGAGCAATTCAGCGTGATAGCTTTCTCCTTTGCAGATGTGCCACTAAATCCACGGAATACCACATCGCTCACATTCAATGCTCCACTCTAAGTACACCAAATATGAAATGCAACCTTAATAAGCTTTCATAAACTGAGGGAAAAACAAGTTGAAATCACACATATAGTTAATTGAATACCTCTGCTTTTCCATAACTTCCATAGTACTGATCTATAATTATTGGGTTGTCAGAATCTATTAATGTGATGTTCTCAAAAGTGATCTTTCTTGCATAACCTGATCCACCCTGCAAAAAATTATACTAAATTTTTTTCATTTTTACTGTATATGAAAGTTTTCACACTTTATACCCTTAAATTACTTACCGGGACTGTCTTAATTCTTGCTCCATTTTCAGTGTTTGTGAAAGTGCAATTTTTTACATGAACTTCTTCCACTGTATCATACGCTTTGTTTCTCCCCAGGCTGCCAATGCTATTAATTTGTTCATGTTAATTAATGGATTAGGGTTTGTTGAATTTGGATCTCAACAAGATATTAATCAATCACAGGAAACATTTTACAGATTGATGTAATGTGTATGATAATTTCATTAAACATTTGTAAAAATAAACCTTATTCCATGGCCTGGTCCACAAGAAATTCCAGTAGCACTGATGTTGGAAGAGCCACCACTGATGGCTATGCAATCATCACCTTGACAATTGAACAGATAGCAATTATTTTAAAACCATGGAACATCGAAATATGATTCAAGTACATAAAATGTAAACATGGTTTACCACATTGTATAGTGGAATTTTGAATCAAAATGTTTTTGGAAGTGTAAATGTCGAATCCATCAGTGTTGGGACTGTCACCAGGAGCACGAATGCTGATATCAGAGAATGTGGCATTCTCACAACTATTTATTCTTATGTGAGCTTTTGGGCTGTTAGTGATGGTCAGATTGCTAACAGTAAGATCATTACAAAATTTGAATCTCAGAATCTGCATCGTCCACAAGAAAAATCTACTTTCAACATATATATACAGAATAACTTAAAATCAGGATCCATCAGTATATTTTGAATGTTCACTAGAAGGATGAAAAACTCAACAAAGTTCAAATTGGTCGACACATCACAATCACTTGTTCATAAGTCTATTTTGAAGGTTAAACAGAAGAAAAACTATTCTTACTTAAATTTTTTACATTCATTTCACATTTTCTTACTTAAATTCATTTCACACTTTCAAAATTTTACACTTCTATGACTATTTTATCATTGTACTGTATGTCAAATAAATGTAAAAGTATGTCACAGTATCGTTGCTTTAAACAGAAAAAGAAAAACAATATAATAATTTGCCCTAGGGTTTAATATATAGGAGAGAACAAAGTTTAGATAGAATGGTCAAACCGTTGGTCGTTCGCAAGCATGGCAATTCCACCAAGTAGAACCGTAGCCATCGATTGAACCTCCACTTCCATCAATTGAGAGATTAGTTACGTTTGATATTACAATCAAATTGGACGTTTCATTTGTGAGACCTTTTGTTTTAGGGTTTTTGATTTCTGACACTTTAATCCACTCATTCTTCCCAGCTGCAACTATTTTCCCTTGAAGCTGCAAGAACATGAATTCTAGTTACATAAATTTGAATATATGTGTTTCATATGCATAAGCATATTTGGTGCATTGAAGAAGCAAAAAGTTCAAAGATAAAGTTTTGTCTGCTTTCACTTTGTTTTTTTTTCTAATCATTTGGAAGATAAGTAGAAGATTTGAGAATAAAACTATGCAAGTAATTGTTTTTAGTGAAGTTTAATCTGTCTAAGGGTGCTTTTTATTTGCAATGATACCAATATTTTTATAATTGTTAAGCTTTTTATTTGCACAGGTGAAAGAAAGAGACGTTACGTTACTAATCTAATGTGTCTGTCTGAAAGGCATTTGACATAAAATAATACGAAATAATATTTTTGTAACCACAAGGATCAAATCGGATACCTGTTTTTATCTAAAATATTATCTTATTACTCCTCATGTTACTTATGAGATATTTGAGAAAAAAATATTAATTTATTTTTTTTATAAATAACTTTAATGTTACAAACCTAAATTGAAGTATATGAAGTCATATTTTAAATAATTATTAATTAAATAATATTTCTTTCACTAATAATTTTATTTTAATCACTTATTTTTTCAAAAAATATTAAAATAAAACTTACTAATAATTATTAAGCAAGAAATAAAAAGGTAATTATGAATAAGTAACAGATATTTTCATATTGGATGCCATGATACTCATATTTGCTTCATTACCAATTAAATAGCCATATTCATTATCTGTGACTATCCATTAAAATATTTATTTAGTATCCGTAGTAGATTTTATCTATAAATATATGTCAATAATTTTTTTATTCTTATGATCACTCATATACGTTGTATTATAATATGATATAAAAAGTCAAAAATATTTTATATAAAATGTTTGTTTTGCATTCATAATAATAAGTTATTGGTATGAAATTAAGTTATTGGTTTGAATATATATATATTTGCATTTGTCATTTGTATTGGTTTGGGTTATAGAGAACTTTAATATTGTGTGTCATGGAATTTGAGATGAAAATGGATTTGATGCATGAAACCTACTCATTCCATAAAAAATGAAATTTAAAACTTTCATCACATTTATAGAAACAACTAACTTTAGTTTTATGGATAAACCTTTTGCTAGAAATCATACCCATATTTATTAAAAATAATTTAGAATGTTAAAAACCTTATACTGAAAATTCACTTTGTTTGATTTGTTTAACGTATATTGCTAAGGTCGTCACATATTTTTATTTTTTTCTTCTTTCATTTCATTTACATTATATAACTTTGCATGTAATCTATCATTAAAAATAATAATTTTCTTTAACCTTAATTGCTGCGCAGGTTTACCTGAATATTAACACTTGGGGCATTGCAAGGACCATTGAGGGTTATGTAATTTAGCAAGAATTCTCCTTTTGGTGGTATAACTAGGGTTGGTGTTTGTTGTGCTCCACATGTGTCTTTCCACGCACTTAGAAAAGCCTACATATAAATTCAAATAAAAAAATCATATCAATGTTGTCAAATATCAAATGTGTATTTTCCTTAAATTAAAGTGGCATTACTCACTAATTAACTATACACTAAACTAAATTTGGAGATAGAAAGTACCCCAGAATCATCAGATTTGCCATCACCATGAGCACCATAGTCTATCACATTGTAAGTATTTGTTTCGGTACTAAGTCTCGACCTCACACACAAACATGGTGAAACAAAACCAAGAATCAAAACAAAAGTCATTAGTCTTTGCATGTTTGAGAAGAGTGAAGTTGGCATGGCAAGATCCTTAGGAAAGTTCAAGAGTGGGCTCATAGATGATGAGGGAAGGATAGGTTCGAGTTTAAATAAGTAGAACTTTGGACATAGGAGATGATAGAAAACAAAATGATATTATCAAATATTTAATAATAATAATAATAATAAATTATCAAATAACAATTAGATAAATATTAAATAATTATTAGAAAACATAATAATTAAAATGTGTCTAAGAAACAAGTTAACAAACTAAAGACAAAAATTAATAAATATTGATATAAATTTTTTAAATTACGAGTATTTTAATAAAGAAAGATATATTGAGATTAATACATAGACTAGAACCAAATAAATAAATACATACTGGTCTTTATTCAAATTTAAAAAATTTATTTTTTGTCCAAGTGGACCAATTTAAAAAATTTATGTGTTATCGATGTGGGGGAAAGAAAGCCAAAGTTCAAATTGTTTTAAATGTTTTTATTAGTTGATAAATTGTTTTATTAAATCTATGTAACTTACAAAAACAAATTGCATAAAATTAAATTAAATTATATTATTTAAATTTATATAAGTTTAAATTGTGTAACTTATATTGTACTTGATAAATTAAATAGAAATATTTTATTAAATATGTATAACTAACAATATGAGTAATCATGATTTCATAATATTTATTACAAAAATATATATTATTTTTAATTTATATAAGTTTACATTGTGTAACTTATATTGTACTTGATAAATTAAATACAAATATTTTATTAAATATGTATAACTAACAATGAGTAATCGTGATTTCATAATATTAATTAAAAATATATATTATTTTTAATTTATATAAGTTTATATTGTGTAACTTATATTGTACTTCATACATTGAATAAAATATTTTGGCAACTATATTATAATCATAATTTCATAATATTAATTATAACTATATGTTATTTTGAAATATATTTTTCTATTTATATATATATATATATATATATATATTAATAAAGTGAGTTTATCTTTTTGTGTGATTTGTAATAATCAAATTTTATTTAATAACACATTTTTCTTATATATAATTTAAGTGAAAATAAAAGTATTTAGCAAAATTTTATTTTTTTTTAAATTGGTTATATTTCATAAATATTTTATTTAATATTATTTTTATTCATTAAAAAGGGTTGAAATTTTCTTTCAATTCATATGATAATGGAAATTTTATTGGTGACTTATGTGTTTAATCTATTATAACAAATATTATTATCACTAAGGGTCAAATGGGTAATACTTAAAATTTGTCGATAAATTTAAGTTATTGACAGCAAAAAAATTTTATCAATAAATTTTTTTACAAAATTTTTATTCTATCGAAAGTTGTCGGCAAAAAATTAGTCAAATATATTCGTCAATAATCACTGACGAAAATATTAATTGATAAAATTGTCGATAAATATCATGATTTGGTTAATCTTTTTCTTTTTTCCCTCTTTCTTCTTCTTCCTTCATTTATATTTGTTTTCATGAGTTTCGCCACCAACAAAGCACTCTCGGCCCCTAAACAACCATCAGTCCAACACATTTAACCAGTTGATTTGGGTGAATGAAAATCATTAGGAACCATCATGCAAAAAAGAATTAATGAAAATCATAGGAAACAATCACTAAACCTGTTTTCACATTCTCAAATCTAAGAGAGAGAGAGGGGGGGGAAGAAGAACGCCAATGATGTTCCTAGTCGTTGGAGAAGCAATGTTAGCAAGAGCTTGCTGGAAACAATGAAACACAAACACAAAGAAAAGAAAAAGAACTCATCGATGGTGTTGGTCGCCTACTTAATCTTCGATGTGAGGAGCTCGATCAACGACTAAGGTCATTGGTGAAGGGAAACAACGACGAGGTCGTAGGTTGTTGTGGTGGTGGGTTTAGAGGGAGAAGATGACGAAAGTTTTTGTTTCTTCATCTTTAATAAAAATTGGATATATGTGACACTAAACATGAGATTTGAGTGAGAAATTTGTTGCTCATTTTACTGACGGATATACTAATAAAAACATTTGTCAATAAATGATATATGTATCTCTGATGAATTTATAGAAAAAAATTTCGTTGATAAATTTGTTGATAAAATTTGTTAGTAATTAAAATTTTAAAATCTATTAATAAAATTCATCAATAATTAAATTTATTGACTGATTTATTGATTTGGGTAAAATTTTATCGATAATTTCGTGATTTTTTAGAGTGGTAGAAGTTTAATTAAACTAAAACTAGTACTTTCAAAAATATTTCTATATTCTTAAAATTTATTTATTTATAATGTTGATATGAAATTTAGAAAATAAATAAATGCATTTAAGTTTAATAGAGATCTAAATTATAATTGTTACCATCTGTGTGTACTGCTCATTCAAATCTAAATTATAATTGTTACCATCTGTGTGACCACAAGGAAAACAATTTGACTATTCACATTCATTCATAACGTTACCATCTGTGTGTACTGCTCATATTAAAGCATTACACAAAATAATTAGGTCAACAAATAAAGAAGGAAAGAAAATATTTTAAATCTACAAAGCGAGTGAGAGAGTGCGTGATTAAATTACAAAACCACAAGTCAAATGGTGAGTTTTAATAAACAAAGTAGTATTTAATTTCGATAAGCTTTACTTTTGAACAATAAACTAAATTTTAAATGATTCGGTCTAATCTGTCTCATTTTGTTTGACCTAAATTTTGTTCCGTCAAATCCAATTATCATGAATTAAACTAATTTAAGTTTGAGTTAACTTAATTTGATTTAGGTCGATTCTCTCCAATCTCAATCTAATTTGGATCTAGTTTCACTTAATTTAACCCAAATCTAATGTAGATTAACTTTGATGTACTCTGTGTATGGTCTAATACAATCTTGCATTACTTAAAATTGACCCGACTCAACTTGTATGAGTTGGACTTAACTGAACACATTTGCCTGTCCAAACTTAAAATTTCAAATTTTAAAAATTATTTAATATATATTTATATATACTCTAAATTAAATTGGACATGAAATAAAAAATGAATGGATTTTGAGTTAAGATAAACCAAATAAAGTAATTATTATAAATTGAATTTGAATATTTGAATTTTTTCATCCACCTCTAGAAGTTGAGATAGAAATTTGTCAAAAGTCCATTAATATGGATCACTAGTTTCAAGTTACATTCAATATAATTTTTTAATTATAAATTATTTCTACCATACGAGAACTTGAGATAAATCGCATCCAACCTCCAATTAAAAACATATCTTCCAATAAAGTGAATAGAATCAATCTTCAAATAAAAACCCTTATGAGAGAAAGTAAGAGAAGCAACTCTATCAATCCTTTTATAATGAACACTCCATGTATATTTTACAAGAGAGAAGGGGAAATACAACTGAACATCATTCAAATTTAAGAAACAAGTTGTAGAACATCCTAGTCAGTTGACCCCATGTGTTCCTAAGATAAACAAGAAAAAAAATCCTATGAAGGGGAAATAAACCCATGCTTATTTTGTAGTAGTTTTCCTAAAAGTAAGAGATCTACCACCCACTTACTAAGATACTACACATTTATTCGTTTATTCGAGAAAGAACATTTTGGATCAGTGGATGTAACTCTTCCACGGGCATTGTTGCAAGAACAAGAAACTCGTTTTCCTGGTTCAGAAGAGACAATGTCAATATCATCCAGAACAATGTTGGAACAACCAGGTAGACCACAATTCAGAGTAATAGCTTCGTCACTTGCTGATGTTCCTCTGAATCCACGAAATGTCACATCACTCACGTTCAATCCTTTGTCCTAAGTGCACCAAATTCAACAATGCAACATTCATATAACAAATAAGTTGAAACCACAAAGATATAAACACAAACACAAAGTTTAAGAGTACCTTCGAAATTTTACTGCCGTAGGTCTGGTCTATAATAATTGGGTTCATAACGTTCATTAATCTGATGTCCTCAAAAGTTATCTGTCTTGCATAACCTGATCCACCCTGCAAAAAGTTGAACAATGTATGAAATATTTTGTTAATCACGTCAAACATATATTCTTATATGGTTAACAAAATTAATAATAATTTAAATACATTTTTTCTTTTTCTGATATGTTTTTTTGAACAGTTATTACTTACTGGTGCTGTCTTGATTCTTGCTCCATTTGTAGTGTTGGTGAGGTTGCAATTTTTTACATAAACTTCTGACACTGTTTCAAAAGATCCGTCTCTTCCCAGGCTGCCAATGCTGATTAATTTGTTCATGTTAATGGATTAGGGTTTGTTGAATTTGGGAGTAACAAACCATATTAAGTTTTTCTTTTTCAAAGCTTATATTAAATATTACAATCAACTTTTGACTTTTCTAAAATTGAATCATGAAATATATACTAAAATGGGAAGAAAAATAGCAAAAATAATTTACTGTTTGATGCAATGTTCAAGGGTGATAATTTCATAAAAAATGTATATAAATAAACCTTATTCCATGGCCTGGTCCACAAGCAATTCGAGTAGCATTGATGTAAGAGGAGCCATCGCTGATGGCTATGCAGTCATCACCTTTTCAGAAAGACAATTGCAAAAACAGCAGTTATTTTAACAGCATGCAACATTGAAATCTGATACATGTACTTAATATATGTAAACACTATTTACCACATTGTATGGTGGAATCTTCAATCAAGATATGTTTTGAAGCAAAAATGTCAATTCCATCAGTGTTGTAACTGTTACCAGGAGAATCAATGCTGATATTAGAGAATGTGGCATTCTCACAATTATTTATCCTTATGTGAGCTTTTGGGCTGTTGGTGATGGTCACGTGAGTAACACTAAGATCATTACAAAACTTGAATCTAAGAATCTGCATCAACCACAAACATTTACTTCAAAAACAGTCAGTTATGATGGTTTAACTCGTATGATATGAGTCGGTTTTGACAATTTATTAAATTTTACAAAAGATATATAAAGATGGGTTGGAAGTTTCACATTTACTAAAGATAAGGTCAATTTATAATATATAATTGAGTGCAAACTTCACATCATAAATCAATTTTGTAGGATTGAGTTGAGTTTAAAGTCTTACAATTATCAATTTTATTCCATATGAAGATTCAGACGACATTTAGATTTAGGAAAATATCATTTTAACAACTATTTTACAACAATCTATGTGTTATCTTGTAATTGGTCCGTTTCAAATATACAGACGAATAAAATAGTGACAACATATATCAAAAAGTTGTTAAAATATCATGGTCGATATATTTATAATCAAATATATTGTATTGTAAAGACATAAAAACATAGTTTAGATAGAATAGTCAAACCGTTGGTCTTCCACATGGTTGGCATTGCCACCAAGAAGAACCATAACCATCGATCGATCCTCCACTCCCATCAATTGAGAGATTAGTTACGTTTGTGATTTCAATCAAATTACTTCTACCTTTTACCCATTCATCTTTGCTAGGTGCAACAATTTTTCCTTGAAGCTGCAAGATATTTTGTAGCAAGATAATTTTAGATATAGGTTTCATTTGCATAAGTAGAATATTACCCTCTTTGAGAATGTTACAAGAAAATTTTGGTCTAATGATTATGAAACAGAGAATACTACAATGTAGAATTTATAATTTAAGGTGTTAATTTTTATTTACGGTGTTAATCTTTTAATCTCTATCCAATGTAGAATTTATAATTTTAACCATTTTTATTTTTTAAATCAGATTTCACAGTAACAAATTGAAAAGAAAAATGAATTTTTTAATTTGATTTTTAAAACAAACTATTTAAAAAGTCTATTTGGCATTACTTATTAATTTATTCTGAAAAAAGAAGCAATTATTCAACAAGTGATACGGTTTATAGATTCCTCCAAAATTAAACCAATTAGATGAATGAATAAACGAAACTTACAACTCAATTGAGATTAACAAGAATCAATGTTTTGCAACTGTAATTTACTTCAAGGAAATCAAGTACATAAGCTAAATTGTATATTTAACATAAGAATTAATATCTCATATGCTATACAATTTTGTCTGCATAATTTATTTCATTCAAGTAAATTACAAGTGTTGCGTAGCTTTTTCTGGTGTTATTTTAGTCCACTTAACCCAATTGGCAAAGAATATTATTCATTTGATTTTAAATTTTATTTTAATTGAAGCTAAATTAAATATATATGTAATTCAAGCCTACTCTTTATTGGCTTGATGCAAAGTGAAACACTGTTTGAGAAAGAGACAAAATTTCTACTCGAATTTGTTTGTAAGAGTATATTAAAAAGGGTAGAAAAGACATTGAAAGTTTATTATTGAAAATGTATTGGAGAAATAAATAATTTAGGAAAAAAAATTAAAATAATTTACACACCGAATCAAAATTCACATAGTTATAAGAAAAACATTGGTACCATTAAAAATAAAATTCAGTAAAATCAAAGAAAAATATTTTACACCACCAAAATTTAAATAAAAAAAAAAAGGTCAATCCAAAATTAAAGAAGTTATACCTTAATATTAACTTTTGTGGCAATGCAAGGACCATTGAGGGCTATGCCTTTCAGCAAGAATGCTCCTTTTTGTGGTATAATAAGAGTTGGTGTTCCTTTTGTTCCACATGTATCTTTCCATGCACTCTCAAAAGCCTACATTAATAAAAAAAAGACAAAGATTAATCTAAAAAATATATTAAATTAGAAAGATTAAATTCAAAATTATCAAATAAAAGTGATATTTCTCATGAAGTATAATTTAAACTAAATTAAAAGAAAGAAAGAAAGGAAAAAAAGTACCCTGGAATCATCTGACTTGCCATCACCATGAGCACCATAATCTATCACATTATAAGTGTTTTTCTCTTTTATAACAGTCGACCTTACACACAAACATGGTGAAACAAAACCAAGAATCAAAAGAAAAATTATTATTAATCTTTGCATGTTTGAGAAGAATGAGATTGACATGAGTTGAAGAGTGGGATTGGAATTTAAATAGATATTGTAATATACTTAAATAGAGATTTGATCAGAGAAAGAAAGAACGTAAAAGTATATTCAATGTTTTATTAATTAGGGAAGGAATTAACGCATCAATAATAATATCATTGATTATATATTAATTATAGAGTTGATTAGTTTTATTTTCAAAAATTATATAATGTTTGTTCATAATAAATATTATCTTTCATATATGTTGATGTAATTAAATATTATTTATTATATTTATTATATTCAATATAAACTGTTCTTTAATTCTTTTATTAAACCCTTCAAATTAAATTAAAGAGAAAATATGCTTTGACACGTTGACAATCATTTTACACATTATTTTATATTTTGAATAAAAATAATTTGTAATATCGTTCTAAAAGATTTTAAACTGACTGATGTTCTCCATTTTAATAAAATATTTCTAATTTATTTCTAATTTGAACCCAATTACATTATTAATGTTTTTATAATATATAAAGTAATATTTTTAATAAAAGAATAACTCTATTACTAAAACTATTATAATGAAAGACATATTTATTATATTATTATTATATTATTATTATTACCATTATTATTATTATTATTATTCTTTTATTATTATTATTATTATTATTATTATTATTATTATTATTATTATTATTCAGGGAATATACTCCAAACAATTTTAATGTCATGCTTAAAGAAATTACCTATCACGCAGAAACTTGCATAATTCCATGGTCAAACAATTTTATGATAAACCTTCTTATTATAATAGATGTCTATATAATATTTTTATGTATTTGGTAAAAAAGAAAGTCTCGATGACCATAGTTTTGACATCAATATTTATAGTAGTGATATTTTTGGTCATAAAAAAAGTTGCAACGATTTCCTACTTTATTAGAATTTTAATTTCATCAAAAAAAGATTTTGTGGTAAAGTGTCAATGTGTATGAATTGTTCAAGTTGTAGTTCATAAAAAATCAAATATACAAGCAATCTTGATTATTATAAAATTTGAAGATCTGTTTAGCTTATACTTATTTATATTACAATACACATGCAATTAAGTAAAAAATAATAAATAGATATTTATAATATTTGTATGTCGTATTATTCTTATCAAACTTTAAATTATACATTAATGCGAATATAAAAAATATAATAAAACAAATATTTATAGCTAATTATATTGTTACCTTTCAACATAATTAGATCTAATATTAATTAACTTAGGTGTAATTATAAAAGAATGAGTTATAATTAGGTGGTTGCTAATTTGGAACTTATTTCAAAATTTATTAATTGAGTTTGAAGTAAAGAGATAAGTAATGACATTTTATAAATATTTATTATAAAGACGATTTTATGATAATCGATTATAAAGGCAACCTTCTCATTAATAATCGATTATTCAATAATACAAAAATATCGTATAATGTCGTTATTTTTTGGTCTTTCATGTCGAATTCGAAGTTGACGTCATATCGATGTCGAATTTAAAAAATTTGACGCTAATCAAATTGACATCGAATTTTGTTAATATTCGACGTTAAACAATTTTTTTATTTTTTTTTAATTAATTGTAATCCCTTTTTATAACTTTACGAGACCTGAAAAAGTAGAAAAATAACACATTTCAGCTTTTTGTATTTTATAAAGCATGAACTATAAATGTGTAATATAGTATCAACAACTAACAACAATAACAAACAAAAAATAAGTTCAATCAAAAAAAAAAAAACAAGTTCAACCAAATAACAACAACAACTAACAACAACAAAAAACAAGTTGAACAAAAAAACAACAACAAACAAGTTCAACAAATAAGTTCTTCAAAACAAAACTAAAACTAACATTCAAAAGGTGGGTTCATCGGAATAATGTGTTTCCACCCGTGAGAGAGAAAGCAGAATGCGCTTATCACTAGTAAAAATCAACGTATAACGTCACGCGTTTAACGTCCAACCACTGAATAGCCAACGTTAAAAATGACCGGTGACATTTTTGTAAATAAATGCAATTATTAAATGTCTTTTAGAATTGTAATTCGACGTAAAAGGATATAAAACGTCGAATGCCCCAGTGTTAGACATTAAAAGGTTAGTGAATTCAATAAAAATTTGAGCGGGATATTGAAAATTCATTTACTTTATCTTATTGCGCGAGACTCTCTTCTCTTCTCAAACTTTTCTTGAACGAAGTTTGACGACTATTACATGTAATCTTTCTTTCATTTGATACAAATGCATTTTATGTATGATTTTCGTTTGTTTTGACCGATTACTTTCGTGTTTTTGTTCTTCATAGCGCATTATACTTTCTCTGTAACCGGTGACAACACTTTATTTTGACAACCCACCTTTCGAAGGTTAGTTTCCATTTTCGTTTTGAAGAACTTATTTGTTGAACTTGCTTGTTGATTTTTTTGTCGAACTTGTTTGTTGTTGTTTGGTTAAACTTGTTTGTTGTTGTTGTTTGATTGAACGTATTTGTTGTAGGTTATTGTTGATTGTTGTTGATACTACGTTCATAGTTCTTGTTTTATAAAATACCAAAAACTGAAATTTGTTATTTTTCTGTTTTTCAGGTCTCGTAGAGTTGTAAAAAATGATCACAATTAATTTTAAAAAACAAAAAAAAATTATTAACATTGTATATTGACAAAATTTGTAACGTTGAATTTTTTAAATTCGACGTCAATTTAACGTCTCCTGGTATTACGTCGTTCGCTAATGCGCCGTTAAAAGACCAAAATATTAGACGTACGTGATTTTTGTACTAGTGTATGAAGGACAAGAACACGCAAAATAATCCGTCAAAACAAACAAAAATTATACATAAAGTAGTTAATTAACATGCATTTGTATCAAATTAAAGAAAAATTACATGTGATGGTCGTCAAACTTCTTTCGAGCAAAGTTTGAGAAGAGAATAGGGTTTCGCGTGTTAAGATAAAATGAATGAATTTTCAATCTCCCGCTCAAATTAAAAAGGGGAAACTTTTGCTGACAAATAATACGTCGACGCTCATACAAAACTCGACGTATTATATTTGGTTTAAAAGAAAAAAGAAAAAAAATTAAAAACGGGTTACTTTTTGGCTTATGGCTGACAAATAATACGTCGAAGCCCTTACAGAATTCGACGTATTATTTGTTGTTTAAAAGAAAAAAGAAAAAGAAAATTAAAAAGGGTGACTATTTGGCTTCTGACTGACAAATATTACGTCGAACCCCTATAGGATTCGAACTATTGGTGGTTTAAAAGAAAGAAGAAAGGGAATGACGCGCTGATTTAAATAAATATCATCATAGAACGTCGAATTGAATAAGGCTTCCACGTTCTACAATTGCATTTATTTACAAAAATGTCACCAGTCATTTTTAACGTTTGCTATTCAGTAGTTGGACATTAAACGCATGACGTTATACGATGTTTTTGAACTAGTGATTCCAGAGAAAAGTTAAGAGAAAATTCATATAAAGACCTAATAATCAATTATCAATTATTCCAAAGAAAATTCATATAAAGACGATTTTCTGACTGAAATAATCTATTATCACACCTGATAATCGATTATTCCAGAAAATTTTGAAGAAAAGATAACATTCTGATTGAAATAATCGATTATCACACATGATCATAGATTATTCTTATCAGTTTTGACATTAATATGATTTTTCGTATTTGATTGCACCTAAGACTCGTCCAAATGACCAAAATCAATACTCTTGCTCGTAGAATTGATTCACAAACATGTTTATACTAAAAAATGGATACTATTTTGATCTTTTGCCAAGATTTAGTTGCACTAATTCATTCCAACACTCTAAAAGATAACATATGAAATTTGACACCTTACCAACCTTATTTTTTGTGTACTAAGAGTCCAACAAGTTTAAAAAATCTTAGAAATAAACCTTAAACTTTAGGTTTTCCCTTTCCACCCTATCTATTTCACCTATCAAAACTCATTTCTTAGATAAAAACTAGCATATAACTCACCTATTTTATCCTTCCCAATTAACATTAGATTATTGGTTATTTGAAGTTCTAAATAAATTTAAAATATCTAAAAACAGCTAACCAACATCAATTTTATATCAATAAATGTATAAAACGTAGAAGGATAGTATATCATCTATGAGGAATTTTTTATATCAATAAAATATGAATAAATAAATATAACAATAAAATATTTGAGATACTTGAACTCTTTTACAAAATTACAATATCATCCCCTTATATTGTGTCATCTATCTTGTAGGTGTACCAGTGTAAAATAGACTCTTTATAAAATATATTATACTGGTTCAAATTCACCAAGTATAAAATGAAATATAGTGAGTATTTTGTAAATAGTGTGACATTTTTATATAGGTTAGTCACTACAATTGATATATAGTATGTTAAATTGCCATATTCCCCAGCATCTTTTATGAGTTTCTTTCTCACGATGATTCTTAACACTCATGCTCATTCTGAGTTTCATACTCCTCATGCTCTTTCCCAACATAGATATATGCACTTGTGGTGGTTGGTAGTGAATGCATCATGGTTGCATGGTGTTATAGTGTATCAATGTTGAAAAGGTGTGGTGGTGATAGTTGGTGATACCACAAATGTCATCTTTATTAATTTTATTTGTTATTATTAATAAATAAAAAAGCTTTAGGGTGATAGATATTGCATAGTAGACAAGGAAATCGAGAAAATATACTAAATTCACAACATCTCCATGTTCCTTAGAAATGCTATAAATATTGGAAATATCTAACAAGCTTAATTTCCCTTATATTAAATCTACCACCACCAAGGTTGGCATGGGAATTTATTTTATATACAAGATACTTTTGGAACGGTGGATCCAATCGTCCCATTAGCAATATTCTTACAAAAAGCATAGGCAAGTTGGGAAGATTTTGAAGAGACAATGTAAATTTGATCCAATGTAATGTTGAAACAACCAGATGGGCTACAGTTCAAATTAATTGCTTTCTCACTTGCAGAAGTTCCATTGAACCCTCTATAAGTAACTTCACTCACCCTCACTGCATCATATTCCTGTTACCAAAATTATTTCAAATCAAAATTGAACTAACGTTGAAATCACATATCATAATAATGTAAATGCAGATTCAAGTTTATACCAGTTTGCTTAGAGTTTTAATGTTGTAGTACTGGTCTATAATAATTGAATTTTGAACATCTTGCAACATGATATCCTCAAACGTGATTTTTCTTGCATAGCCAGATCCACCCTGCATAAAATTGGAGAATGTAATAAAGATAATAATTAAGATGATACCATGAGATATTGAATAGTGGAGATCTTAGCAAGAAACAAGATGGTTTACAATATATTAATTCTTACAATAACCAAAATATCCTTAAGAGATGTATATATAAGTTACTCACTGGCCATGTCTTGATTCTTGCTCCATTTGTGGTGCCAATGAAGCTGCAATTTTGTACATGTACCTCTTCGACTGTTTCATAGGATTTGTTTCTGCCAAGGCTTCCAATGCTGTTTGATTCATACATGTTTCATTACATGTCATGCACAGTTAATCAGATATTTAACTTCATTATTACATCAACTTTCATAATAAAGAACAATTTAACATTACAGAACTATAGGCTGACAAATAATACGTCGAAGCCCTTACAGATTATTATTATTATTATTATTATTATTATTATTATTATTATTATTATTATTCAGGGAATATACTCCAAACAATTTTAATGTCATGCTTAAAGAAATTACCTATCACGCAGAAACTTGCATAATTCCATGGTCAAACAATTTTATGATAAACCTTCTTATTATAATAGATGTCTATATAATATTTTTATGTATTTGGTAAAAAAGAAAGTCTCGATGACCATAGTTTTGACATCAATATTTATAGTAGTGATATTTTTGGTCATAAAAAAAGTTGCAACGATTTCCTACTTTATTAGAATTTTAATTTCATCAAAAAAAGATTTTGTGGTAAAGTGTCAATGTGTATGAATTGTTCAAGTTGTAGTTCATAAAAAATCAAATATACAAGCAATCTTGATTATTATAAAATTTGAAGATCTGTTTAGCTTATACTTATTTATATTACAATACACATGCAATTAAGTAAAAAATAATAAATAGATATTTATAATATTTGTATGTCGTATTATTCTTATCAAACTTTAAATTATACATTAATGCGAATATAAAAAATATAATAAAACAAATATTTATAGCTAATTATATTGTTACCTTTCAACATAATTAGATCTAATATTAATTAACTTAGGTGTAATTATAAAAGAATGAGTTATAATTAGGTGGTTGCTAATTTGGAACTTATTTCAAAATTTATTAATTGAGTTTGAAGTAAAGAGATAAGTAATGACATTTTATAAATATTTATTATAAAGACGATTTTATGATAATCGATTATAAAGGCAACCTTCTCATTAATAATCGATTATTCAATAATACAAAAATATCGTATAATGTCGTTATTTTTTGGTCTTTCATGTCGAATTCGAAGTTGACGTCATATCGATGTCGAATTTAAAAAATTTGACGCTAATCAAATTGACATCGAATTTTGTTAATATTCGACGTTAAACAATTTTTTTATTTTTTTTTAATTAATTGTAATCCCTTTTTATAACTTTACGAGACCTGAAAAAGTAGAAAAATAACACATTTCAGCTTTTTGTATTTTATAAAGCATGAACTATAAATGTGTAATATAGTATCAACAACTAACAACAATAACAAACAAAAAATAAGTTCAATCAAAAAAAAAAAAACAAGTTCAACCAAATAACAACAACAACTAACAACAACAAAAAACAAGTTGAACAAAAAAACAACAACAAACAAGTTCAACAAATAAGTTCTTCAAAACAAAACTAAAACTAACATTCAAAAGGTGGGTTCATCGGAATAATGTGTTTCCACCCGTGAGAGAGAAAGCAGAATGCGCTTATCACTAGTAAAAATCAACGTATAACGTCACGCGTTTAACGTCCAACCACTGAATAGCCAACGTTAAAAATGACCGGTGACATTTTTGTAAATAAATGCAATTATTAAATGTCTTTTAGAATTGTAATTCGACGTAAAAGGATATAAAACGTCGAATGCCCCAGTGTTAGACATTAAAAGGTTAGTGAATTCAATAAAAATTTGAGCGGGATATTGAAAATTCATTTACTTTATCTTATTGCGCGAGACTCTCTTCTCTTCTCAAACTTTTCTTGAACGAAGTTTGACGACTATTACATGTAATCTTTCTTTCATTTGATACAAATGCATTTTATGTATGATTTTCGTTTGTTTTGACCGATTACTTTCGTGTTTTTGTTCTTCATAGCGCATTATACTTTCTCTGTAACCGGTGACAACACTTTATTTTGACAACCCACCTTTCGAAGGTTAGTTTCCATTTTCGTTTTGAAGAACTTATTTGTTGAACTTGCTTGTTGATTTTTTTGTCGAACTTGTTTGTTGTTGTTTGGTTAAACTTGTTTGTTGTTGTTGTTTGATTGAACGTATTTGTTGTAGGTTATTGTTGATTGTTGTTGATACTACGTTCATAGTTCTTGTTTTATAAAATACCAAAAACTGAAATTTGTTATTTTTCTGTTTTTCAGGTCTCGTAGAGTTGTAAAAAATGATCACAATTAATTTTAAAAAACAAAAAAAAATTATTAACATTGTATATTGACAAAATTTGTAACGTTGAATTTTTTAAATTCGACGTCAATTTAACGTCTCCTGGTATTACGTCGTTCGCTAATGCGCCGTTAAAAGACCAAAATATTAGACGTACGTGATTTTTGTACTAGTGTATGAAGGACAAGAACACGCAAAATAATCCGTCAAAACAAACAAAAATTATACATAAAGTAGTTAATTAACATGCATTTGTATCAAATTAAAGAAAAATTACATGTGATGGTCGTCAAACTTCTTTCGAGCAAAGTTTGAGAAGAGAATAGGGTTTCGCGTGTTAAGATAAAATGAATGAATTTTCAATCTCCCGCTCAAATTAAAAAGGGGAAACTTTTGCTGACAAATAATACGTCGACGCTCATACAAAACTCGACGTATTATATTTGGTTTAAAAGAAAAAAGAAAAAAAATTAAAAACGGGTTACTTTTTGGCTTATGGCTGACAAATAATACGTCGAAGCCCTTACAGAATTCGACGTATTATTTGTTGTTTAAAAGAAAAAAGAAAAAGAAAATTAAAAAGGGTGACTATTTGGCTTCTGACTGACAAATATTACGTCGAACCCCTATAGGATTCGAACTATTGGTGGTTTAAAAGAAAGAAGAAAGGGAATGACGCGCTGATTTAAATAAATATCATCATAGAACGTCGAATTGAATAAGGCTTCCACGTTCTACAATTGCATTTATTTACAAAAATGTCACCAGTCATTTTTAACGTTTGCTATTCAGTAGTTGGACATTAAACGCATGACGTTATACGATGTTTTTGAACTAGTGATTCCAGAGAAAAGTTAAGAGAAAATTCATATAAAGACCTAATAATCAATTATCAATTATTCCAAAGAAAATTCATATAAAGACGATTTTCTGACTGAAATAATCTATTATCACACCTGATAATCGATTATTCCAGAAAATTTTGAAGAAAAGATAACATTCTGATTGAAATAATCGATTATCACACATGATCATAGATTATTCTTATCAGTTTTGACATTAATATGATTTTTCGTATTTGATTGCACCTAAGACTCGTCCAAATGACCAAAATCAATACTCTTGCTCGTAGAATTGATTCACAAACATGTTTATACTAAAAAATGGATACTATTTTGATCTTTTGCCAAGATTTAGTTGCACTAATTCATTCCAACACTCTAAAAGATAACATATGAAATTTGACACCTTACCAACCTTATTTTTTGTGTACTAAGAGTCCAACAAGTTTAAAAAATCTTAGAAATAAACCTTAAACTTTAGGTTTTCCCTTTCCACCCTATCTATTTCACCTATCAAAACTCATTTCTTAGATAAAAACTAGCATATAACTCACCTATTTTATCCTTCCCAATTAACATTAGATTATTGGTTATTTGAAGTTCTAAATAAATTTAAAATATCTAAAAACAGCTAACCAACATCAATTTTATATCAATAAATGTATAAAACGTAGAAGGATAGTATATCATCTATGAGGAATTTTTTATATCAATAAAATATGAATAAATAAATATAACAATAAAATATTTGAGATACTTGAACTCTTTTACAAAATTACAATATCATCCCCTTATATTGTGTCATCTATCTTGTAGGTGTACCAGTGTAAAATAGACTCTTTATAAAATATATTATACTGGTTCAAATTCACCAAGTATAAAATGAAATATAGTGAGTATTTTGTAAATAGTGTGACATTTTTATATAGGTTAGTCACTACAATTGATATATAGTATGTTAAATTGCCATATTCCCCAGCATCTTTTATGAGTTTCTTTCTCACGATGATTCTTAACACTCATGCTCATTCTGAGTTTCATACTCCTCATGCTCTTTCCCAACATAGATATATGCACTTGTGGTGGTTGGTAGTGAATGCATCATGGTTGCATGGTGTTATAGTGTATCAATGTTGAAAAGGTGTGGTGGTGATAGTTGGTGATACCACAAATGTCATCTTTATTAATTTTATTTGTTATTATTAATAAATAAAAAAGCTTTAGGGTGATAGATATTGCATAGTAGACAAGGAAATCGAGAAAATATACTAAATTCACAACATCTCCATGTTCCTTAGAAATGCTATAAATATTGGAAATATCTAACAAGCTTAATTTCCCTTATATTAAATCTACCACCACCAAGGTTGGCATGGGAATTTATTTTATATACAAGATACTTTTGGAACGGTGGATCCAATCGTCCCATTAGCAATATTCTTACAAAAAGCATAGGCAAGTTGGGAAGATTTTGAAGAGACAATGTAAATTTGATCCAATGTAATGTTGAAACAACCAGATGGGCTACAGTTCAAATTAATTGCTTTCTCACTTGCAGAAGTTCCATTGAACCCTCTATAAGTAACTTCACTCACCCTCACTGCATCATATTCCTGTTACCAAAATTATTTCAAATCAAAATTGAACTAACGTTGAAATCACATATCATAATAATGTAAATGCAGATTCAAGTTTATACCAGTTTGCTTAGAGTTTTAATGTTGTAGTACTGGTCTATAATAATTGAATTTTGAACATCTTGCAACATGATATCCTCAAACGTGATTTTTCTTGCATAGCCAGATCCACCCTGCATAAAATTGGAGAATGTAATAAAGATAATAATTAAGATGATACCATGAGATATTGAATAGTGGAGATCTTAGCAAGAAACAAGATGGTTTACAATATATTAATTCTTACAATAACCAAAATATCCTTAAGAGATGTATATATAAGTTACTCACTGGCCATGTCTTGATTCTTGCTCCATTTGTGGTGCCAATGAAGCTGCAATTTTGTACATG